GGTTAAGGACCCGCCTGCCAATGCAGGGGACACGGGTTCGAGCCCTGGTCTGGGAAGATCCCACATGCCGCGGAGCAACTAAGCCCGTGCGCTACAACTACTGAGCCTGCGCTCTAGAGCCCGCGAGCCACAACTACTGAAGCCTGTGCTCCTAGAGCCCGTGCTCCTCAACAAGAGAAGCCACCACAATGAGAAGCCCGCGCACCACAATGAAGAGTAGCCCCTGCTCAGCGCAACTAGAGAAAGCCCGCACACAGCAACAAAGACCCAATGCAACCCAAAATAAAAAATAGTAAATAAAATAAATTAATTTTTAAAAAAAGAAAGTAAATGCAGACGTGACTTCACTCCTAAATACTTGAGTATAAACCTCTTAAGAAGGAGGACATTTTTTACATAACCACAGTATCATTACTACTAGCTTTTTAAAAACATGCATATCCCCTATAAAGCTGGGTTTTTGCTTTGTTTTTGTTTTTAATGTCCATCCTGTCTTGTGCTAAGCACTGTGCTATGTTGGGGTGTAAAGATAAACAAGCAGAGTTCCTGCCTTTAAGAAGTCCAGTCTCCTGGGGAGACAGACATCTAAGACAATGACTGTATTAGGCTGGGATGAGGGCCATAGTAGCTTTATCTACTTTCCTTTCATTCAAGGAGTGTGTCAGCAGAAATGTTCTTCCTGTGGGATAAAGAACTGTTCCCAGAGTGGTGTTCTGGAGTCCATGCTCCGTGCTGTGATTCACCAGCCTGACCCTCATGGACCTTTCTTCCCGACCTAGAGGGGCTTGCATCCATCTAGAAGTGAAGGATGTAACTAACAGGGTGTCATTCACTTCGTCTGATTCTTCCAGTTCCTATACAACGAGGATTGGCCAGGCACAGAGGAATAAGAGAGAAGCTTTGAGGACCAGGCTGAGGAATTGGGGGCTTTATTCTTCAGATCAGCTGTATTAAGTAAGAAGATGTATGTTTGGCTATGAATACCAGAGACCCAAATTAGCAGTGACTTAATCAAGATAAGAGTTCAGTTTTCACTTAACAGTCAGGAGATAGCCGGTCCAGGGCTGGAATGCCGGTTCATACCCATGGGGTCATCCAAGGACCTAGACTCAAGTTGGCTCTCGCTCCATCATCCCCTCCTTGATATGTGGGCTGGTGCCCTCACCTGTATGATTCAAGACAGCTTGTCACCACATCCATATGCCAGGCAGCAGGATGGAAGAAGGGACTACATACTCCTTCCCTTTAAGGCATATTTTGGAAAGACACACCTCACTTCTGTCTATATCCCACTGGCCAGAATTTACTTGTGTAGCCATACCTATTTGCAAGAAGGTACAGAGAAACATAGTCATCATTTGGAAGGCCATATGCCAGGCTAAGAATAGGAGGTCCTATTCCCTATAAGAAAGGAGGAGTGGTATGTACTAAGGGTCAACTTGCAGCCCCTAATATACTGGTATTTCTTAAAAAAAAAAAAAAAAAAAAAAGCCTTCTATAAAATTTGACCCTTAAGATGCTCCTTAAAAATAGGTCTATTGGGCTTCCCTGGTGGCGCAGTGGTTGAGAGTCCGCCTGCCGATGCAGGGGATACGGGTTCGTGCCCCGGTCCGGGAAGATCCCACATGCCGCAGAGCGGCTCGGCCCGTGAGCCATAGCCTGCGCGTCTGGAGTCTGTGCTCCGCAACGGGAGAGGCCACAACAGTGAGAGGCCTGAGTACCGCAAAAAAAAAAAAAAAAAAAAAAAAATAGGTCTATTGGCCAAATAATTTTGGAAACATTTAGCATGGTCTTGATCTCACAGAGATTCGTAATGTAGAGAAACAGTACAGGCTCTGAGAAGTTCTGCAGTGAAGGAACTTGTCTGTCTTTATTTAACCTAAACAAAGATTGTTTGGCCAAAATCCCTTTTTTACAAATTTTGTTTTTTGCAGAAGCCCTAGTCACCTAAGCTTTGGGAAACACTGCTTTGGGAATTATTAAAGTTTCCTTAGTCTGCAGTGATGCAAACATTTTTACAGCCGTTCCACTCCTAGGGATGTAGTTAACAGAAATGTGTGCACATTGTGTCAGTCAAAGTCAAGGTTTAATCAAAGAAACAGAACCACTGGGAGATAAGTAAAGGGATTTATTGCAGGGATTTGATCTTGTGCAGTTGTGGGAGCTGGTTAGAAAGTCTGTGTAAGGCTGTTGCCTTGTGTCTGATGGTGGAGCTTGAAGCCTCTCGAGCGACGGTTAGGAAGCAGAGAGTAAAGTTGAGAACGAGAGCAAGCTGGAGCTCACGAGGGTGGGTGGGAACCCAGGTCAGCGTGTCACTGCCTCCTGTTCTAATGATGTGGTGCCCTGACCTGATGAAGCTGATGCCTTTCATTATGGAACTAAGCACCCGCCTGGGGTGGGAGTCAGAGAAGCTGACAGAGGATCCAGGGGAAGGTGGATCCATCGGCAGCAGGCCCGGCAGCCACCCCCCAGGTGCGATGAGCCTGCAAGGTAAGCAGCAGTGCCCGTGAGTTACCTGATGCCCTCACACTGGCCCCTCCGACATAAACACAACACAGCTACTGCTTTGCTTCGCCTCCCCAGTCTCAGACGCAAATGGGAATTCTGAGGAATGTGAATTAGCCCAGCCGGGTCCTGCATTACAAAGCTACCGCACGTGTAGTCACCAGATGACACGTATGGAATTGTTCACAGCAGTGCTCTTTGTGATAGCTTCAAATAAGAAGTAAGCTAAATGTGCACCAACAGTTAAATAGGTAAGTAAGCTGTGTTACATGCATAGGATGGGAGTAGTCAATGAAGAAATTATTGCTACATGCATCAACTTGGATGAATCTTGCAAAAAAAAATTGAGCCAAAGAAGACAGGCACAAAAGAATACAAACTATGATTGCATTTCTATAAATTTCAAAAACAGCAAAGCTAATTTATCGTGTTCGGAGTCCGGATAATGGTTAGCCTTGAGAGAGTGGTAATGACTCGGACGGGGCAGAAGAGCGGCTTCTGTTTTGCTGCTCATGTCCTGCTGCTTGATCTGGGCTCTGCTCACACAGGTGTGCTCATGCTGGGAGAACTCATTGTGCTGCAGAGCTATGATCTGTGCACTTTTCTAAACTTATCCCTCAGCACAAAGTTTAGGTACATTAAAGTTTTAACAAGTCATTGAGTAGTCATGGACAAGCCGGGTCAGAGGAAAGGAGCTAAGAGCAAGTTGAACCCTGCATGGAGTGGCATGGGGGCGGGGAACAAGGCAGCAGATACTAGAAGAAGCAGGTAAGCGAGAGGACAGAGTCTGCCAGAGGGTCCGTTGCAGGCTGTCCCTCTCCTAGGCTGGCCATCTGTTGCCATCATGAAGGGTTAGGACCGTGTGCACAGGGGGCTCATCGGCTGAAGCACCCGTGTGGCACAGACCATGATCGTGTAGATTTGGGGGGAGGGTCAGCACCTTTGTAAGCTTCCCGGGTGTCCTGTTGCACAACACAGGGTGAGAGCCACTGGACCGAGGGGACCGTAGACAGGGATGCTAGTGGAAAGACAGGAACGTGGGGAAAGTCGGTGTGCGAAACCTTACCTTTCTCCCCACGTTCGCCCCTCGTTCAGCGTGCAGCATGATTTTTCTTGTCTTTAACCCTGACAGATACAACATTGTTCTGGCCTCTGTGTTGTGTGAAATCTTAATTCCTTTTTTCATGCTTTCTCTTTTAGCCCATTGATTAGTTGTTTGAGTTTAAGAGTCCTCTTTTGAAAGTGCCTTAGGCTGCTGGATATAGGATAGGCTGATCCCCTGTGATGCCCACCCCATTCGGAGACTGGGTTGTATCCAGGTAGACTTGATATGCGGTACCTCTGATGCCCCGAACAATTATCTGAAAGCATTTGTTGTCTGGGATTATTAATGGTATTTCTAATGCCTGGGCTATTAGGGCTTGAGGTGTTGATGAGAAGTTTGTTCTAAAGTGAAATCTTACAAGTATCTTAGTATTTTTATGTGGAAAGTTTTTGAATATGCAAGGAAACAGTAGGGCATGTTCTGTAGCATTCTCTCAAGCCTCTAGGAAACACTGCTCTTGTGAACTTCTCTGATTCCCTCAATCTTATGGCTGCTTGTGATTGCTACGTTCTAAAATCCCACGTTATCCTCTGCCATAGAATTTACCACACGCCACCACCTTCAGCCTCCAGAACTGTAGTCACTGGTCTCCTTGTTGATCTCCGTATCTGTCCCTGGAATCTAGTCTGTTTGAGGTCAGGGACTGTGTCTTATTTGACTTCGTAGCTCCAGCACCTAGCTCAGTAGAAACTCAGTAATTAGGGATAAGTGAATGAGCTCTTACATTCTGCAGGCAAAGAACTGGTGTCTGGACCTTGGAGAAGAGCCTCATTTTGAGGAGAGAGGAGGAGTTAGGGAAGGAAGCAGTGCTACATTTGATCAGAGGAGAAAGAAAAGAACCAAAATAGTATATATTCTGTCACGGGAGTCAAGGGAAAAAGGGGAGACATTTTTGAGGAATTATCAAATGCCACAAAGAGATCGATGAAAGTTAAATTAAAAATTAATTTAAAAATTAAAAAGAGTTTGGGGGTTTGTCAGAGTCATTAGTGGCCATAAAAAGGCAAGATGGAAGCAGGATCTCGAGGGGTTAAGGAGAGAGTACGAGATGAGGAAATGGGGGTACATGCACTTAGAAGTGAGGCTGCAAAAGGAAGGAGATTTGGAGGTGGCCAAGCAGAATGGGAGAACCAAAGCCAGCAGCCTCACTAGGAAGAACTGTTTTCTTTTGAAGGCAGAGATCGGAGATGCCTTCACCACCCATCTCTGGCCCTCGGGATGACTCAGGGACTCTGCTGGCATGTAGGCGATGGAGGGATGAGCCACCTGAGCATCCTGGTGGTCAAGTCAGTAGTACATTTACTCCAAAGCCGTGTGCACTTAGCCCTGCTCTAAGCCCTTTGAATGATTTTGTCTCTTTTAAACCTGTATCCTCCCTTCTTCCCCACAGGAAACATGGTGGAATGGTGCTTACCTCAAGATATTGACCTTGAAGGCGTTGAGTTCAAGTCTATGGCCAGTGGGTCCCATAAAATTCAGTCTGATTTCATGTAAGTACTGCTGATTGCAAGTCTTCTCTGTACCATTTCCTCTCACTCTGTGCTTTCCCCCAGAGAATAAGGGCTCTCATTGGGGCATTTTCAGGAAGTGTGTGTAAATGCCCTGAAAATATATACTGGTTTGTGTTTTTATATCAGTTTTCTAGCAAGAAGTTCCCAAACTTTCATTAGGTTCTCGATGAGTTTCATGATCCAAAAATGTTAAGAACTGCCATAGAGGTTCTCTCTCCTTTCCTAAGAAATGCTTGGGCCTTGCTTGAGGTTTGGCTTTAATAAAGGAATAGAGTTTTCGGTTGCATTTGGGTTAACTTAAGACATGTATGTGCTAAAACTTGAAATTCCAGCTTTAAGTAAGGCCAGTTTGTAGTCCTGTGTAATTAAGATTCTTGTGAGGAACAAATTGAGAGAATGTCAGGGTGATGGAGTAGCTTTCATCTTCTCATTGGACTGAAACCATGACAGACATAAGTGTGAGAAACGGGAAGGAAACAAAGTGACAGCTCTGGTCAAATGTTCTATTTAAAATGTCAGAGACTCAGGAAGCGAGGAGAGTATCAACACAGTTTATGCTAATAAAACAGAGGTCCCCCCATCAGGTCAGTTTTTATGCAGGAGGAGAAAGGCTGTGTCCATGGTCGTGGGCGACTGAGTAGCAGGCTTTGCAGAGATCAAGTCCTGGCTCCAGCGGGATGACCCTTGGCGAGTTCCACAATTTCTTTGAGCCTTGGTTGTCCCATCTGTGAGGTTGAGGGGCTTGGGCTGATAGTCCCGCTGAGGTTCTAAAAAACGTTTTTCTCAGGCTGAGTTTTCTCACGTAGAGCCCTGGGCGCAGTTATGTCTTTTGTTCGCGACTGCATCTCAAAGGCAAAACACAAAGTAAAATGAAATTTCTCTCTCTGATTTCGAGCCACGCTACACATTGGGTCTATTTTAGCTATTTCCGAAAGGGGCCCTTCTTTGGCCTGGCCTGCTTCGCCAACATGCCTGTGGAAAGCGAGCTGGAGCGTGGCGCCCGGATGAAATCCGTGGGCATCCTCTCTCCATCCTACACCCTGCTGTACCGGTACATGCACTTCCTGGAGAACCAAGTTCGGTATGTGGCTTACATACGGGGTGGGGTGCAGGGAGGGCAGAGGCAGCAGGGCTCTGCCAGTTGGTGTGCTGTGATGAGCCCTCAGTGGTAAAGGCTGTCCATCAGAACATCAGATTCCTCACCAAGAACATCCATGGCTGTGTCTCACACCTCGGGTGGTAGTCTTCGTGTTTCAACCAGCATCCTGCATAAACGATTCTTCATCCTCGAATGAAAGTTGGGGTAGATTTTGCTTTCAGCTTATATTAATATTGTCATCAATTTTTTTTTTTTTTTTTTTTTGCGGTACACGGGCCTCTCACTGTTGTGGCCTCTTCCGTCGCGGAGCACAGGCTCCGGACGCGCAGGCTCAGCGGCCATGGCTCACGGGCCCAGCCGCTCCACGGCATGTGGGATCTTCCCGGACCGGGGCACGAACCCGTGTCCCCTGCATCGGCAGGCGGGCTCTCAACCACTGCGCCACCAGGGAAGCCCTTGATGATTATTTTAATAGCTCTGTCGTGCTAGAGCTGTCCCATTAGTTTGCTCGATTATCCCCTGTGGTTAAGCAGTTAACACGCCTCTAATTGTTGTAACGGCTGCTCTACGTTTTGGAGCTGTGATACATATTCTTCTGTATTTGAAATATTTCCTCAGTTTTGTGTCTCAGAAGTAACATTGAATTTAAAAAAGAAAACACATTTTTGTTGGGATCTTGACACTTTAAAAAAATTATTACTGCTTTTGAAAAATTAATTTCCCACGGAGGCAATACATTCTCGTGGTTCAAAAGCCAAAAATTATAAGGAGGTATTATATTAGAGTCCTGGCTAAATGGTGATAACGGAGACCCCAAAATACACTGGCTCAAATAAGACAGAAGATTCTTCCCCATGTAATGTTCTAGAAGTAGGAGGGTGTTCAGGGTGAGCAGCCTGCTGTCCCCACAATTCAGGGCCCACGTTGCTTCTCTTATTATTCTACCATAGCCTAAGAGTGATTTTGTGTTCTAAGGTGTCCTTCTCACCTGTTTGAAGCTGCTCACCACTACCATGTCTGCATTCCAGCCCGTAGGGAGGAATGAAGGGCCCGGAAGTTGCATACATCGCTTCTCATATCCCATTGTCAAGTCCTCAATCACAAAGACACACCTGACAGCACAGGACACTGGGAAAGGTAGTCTCTAGTTGGGTGACCTTGTGACCAGTTAAAATTCGGGGGCTCCTGTTGCAAACAGGAGGAAGAGAAGAATGGATTTGGAGGAAATTTTAGCAGGCTCTGCTGCAGTTTGCCCCCCTGGCGACCTGGGTATCCGTGTGTACTCTGCTTCCCAGACATAGAGCACATTCCTCCCACCCCGAGACATCAGAGAGTCTCATCTGGTTAATGTTTCTAGTCTAAAATCCAGGGTTTCTGTGTGATTTGAGGCAATCAGGACATGGTTCTCTTATTCTGCAAAGCTGTGAAAGAACAGTCAACGTCCTCCATTCCCACTTCCCAAATGCAATATAGAAGGAGAGAAGGAACCACGATACAAGCTCCCATTTGAAAAAGAAGAATGAGAAATAATATGAGTGGTTGTTAGTCCATAATAATAATGAAATTTGCTGAGCAGGGATGGCAGAGACCCCTTGTCCTCACAGAGCAGCATGCTCCTGGCTACACCTTGGTTCTGCTCACTAGAATCCCCTTGTCCATTTTCCTCCATGGCTCCTGGCTTTGCCTTCTGGGGCTCCTTTATCCACTTTGTGCCATAACCACTTTTGAAGCAGGTATTGGTGAACATTGGAGAAAGCTGCATGGCTTTGGAACATGTTTCCTGCTGGTGTGGATTTGGGGGTCTAGTGATTTCTTTAAGGGTTGAGAAGTCAGCGGCTTATATAGGCCAAGAACATGACAATACAGATGAGATCCGGCGATTTCGGGGTGGTATGGCCGTAGACAAGAATGTGACAGTACAGATCCCTCAAAAACTGAATAGGCTTCTTGGTCTGTTTGCTTCCACCCAATTCCATGTAAAAATATCTACTGCCAAAGATCTCCTCTGGGTCTTAGTTTTTAAGTCAGTAGATGGTGGCCTAGTTACTGATCACGGTTCTTGGCCTATCTGTCTTTCCCTGGTTTTAATGGCAACTACCTTGAGACTGTAGCCTAAATCTGGGCTTTATAAATGGGCAGACTCCTGTGTCTGGGAGAGTTTCTTAGAGGCTTTGAGAGAAATTCTTACCTCCTGCATTTTTCTTTCTTTTTTCTTTTTTTTTAACAGTTTTATTGGAGTATAATTGCTTCACAATGTTGTGTTAGTTTCTGCTGTATAACAAAGTGAATCAGCTATACGTATACATATATCCCCATATCTCCTCCCTCTTGCGTCTCCCTCCCACCCTCCCTATCCCACCCCTCTAGGTGGTCACAGAGCACTGAGCTGATCTCCCTGTGCTATGCGGCTGCTTCCCACTAGCTATCTGTTTTCCATTTGGTAGTGTATATATGTCCATGCCTCTCTCTCACTTCGTCCCAGCTTACCCTTCCGCCTCCCTGTGTCCTCAAGTCCATTCCCTACAAATGCGTCTTTATTCCTGTCCTGCTGCTGGGTTCTTCAGAACCTGTTTTTTTTTTTTTTAGATTCCATACATATGTGTTAGCATACGGTATTTGTTTTTCTCTTTCTGACTTCACTCTGTATGACAGACTCTAGGTCCATCCATCTCACTACAAATAACTCAATTTCATTTCTTTTTATGGCTGAGTAATACTCCGTTGTATATATGTGCCACATCTTCTTTATCCATTCACCTATCTGTCCATGGACACTTAGGTTGCTTCTATGTCCTGGCTATGGTAAATAGTGCTGCAGTGAACATTGTGGTACGTGACTCTTGAATTATGGTTTTCTCAGGGTATATGCCCAGTAGTGAGATTGTTGGGTCTTTTAAGGAACCTCCATACTGTTCTCCATAGTGGCTGTATCAATTTACATTCCCACCAACAGTGCAAGAGGGTTCCCTTTTCTCCACACCCTCTCCAGCATTTATTGTTTGTATATTTTTTGATGATGGCCATTCTGACTGGTGTGAAGTGATACCTCATTGTGGATTTGATTTGTATTTCTCTAATAATTAGTGATGTTGAGCATCTTTTCATGTGTGTGTTGGTAATCTGTATATCTTCTTTGGAGAAATGTCTGTTTAGGTCTTCTGCCCATTTTTGGAATGGGGTGCTTGTTTTTTTGATATTGAGCTACATGAGCTGCTTGTATATTTTGGAGATTAATCCTTCGTCAGTTGCTTCATTTGCAAATATTTTATCCCATTCTGAGGGTTGTCTTTTTGTCTTGTTTATAGTTTGCTTTGCTGTGCAAAAGCTTTTAAGTTTCATTAGGTCCCATTTGTCCATTTTTGTTTTTATTTCCATTTCTCTAGGTTATCTCCCGCTTTTTGGGTACAGAGGAATTGGGTTTTTCAGTCCCATGGGGTCCCAAATATTTCAAGCCTCAATTAATTTATATTGCAGAACTCAGAATGTACACCCTTACGCTGTATATCCCACCATTTCTGCTTGCAAACTGACTGAGTCTCGCTTATTTTCCTCTTGCTGTTGTAGTAGTAAGATGAAAACTACTAAAAACTAAAAACATCAAGGAGCTATCAGTGCTCTGTTTCTCACTGCTTCCCTTAAAGTTACAAGTTCAGATGATACAGGGCCCGTCTTCCAAGTTATTGAAGTTCTAGGAAAGTTTTTTTTGTTTTTTTTTTTAGCGATCTTCCCTTTCTAGCTACTAAGCCAGTGCTACAGTGTGGTTTTTTTTTTTTTTTTTTCCTTGCGTTATGCGGGCCTCTCACTGTTGTGGCCTCTCCCATTTGCGGAGCACAGGCTCCGGACGCGCAGGCTCAGTGGCCATGGCTCACGGGCACAGCCGCTCCGCGGCATGTGGGATCTTCCCGAAACGGGGCACGAACCCGCGTCTCCTGCATCGGCAGGCGGACTCTCAAGCACTGCGCCACCAGGGAAGCCCTACAGTGTGGTTTTTGATACTATGGTAAATCATTCCTAAATATCATTTTCTGCGTTAGCTCAAATCCAGGCTAAGTTGCTATAACAAAGAAACCCAAAACACAGTGACTCAAACAAGGTGGAATTACAGCTTTTCTAGCATGACAATCCCAGAGGAAGGGAAGCAGTCCAGTGTGGCAGCTGGCTTTGTTCCACTGGGTCATTTCTGGGACCCAAGTCTTGCTGTTTTGTATCCTGCCATCTGCTAGAGTATTGTCCTCCCCCACATGGTAAAAGTTGATTCACCATTACTAGGTCTTGCAGGAAGGGGAAACCCCCAGGAATCCCAGAAATTGGACACATCGCTCCTGCCCACGTTTCATTGACTTATTCTTAGTTTCTAGCCACACCTATAGCAGCAGGACAGTCTAGGAAATGGGGTCCTTAACTGGGTGGCCACATGACCAGCTAAATTTTGGAGGGTTCTGTTACTAAGGGAAGAAGAGAGTGGCAGTCTCAACCACTGGCATAAAATGAAGTCTTCACCCAGTTCCCATATCCATCCAATAATCCCAGTAATCACTGCTGATTTCCCATGTATCTTTCCAAAGTTTGTGTATGTGTGTATACAAATACAAATGTATATTCTTATTTTCCCTCTTTTCATACAAAAGGTGGCCTGTTATACGTGTTGTTTGCACCTTGCCTTTTTCATTCAGCAAAATATATCTGGGAGATCTTCTCATATTAGTACGTGGAGAGCTTCTTGATTGTTTCTCACAGTTGTGTTACAAGCCCTGTGTAAAAGAACCGTGCTTGCTCTCTCAAGTTGCTTTTACTGATAGACATTTGGTTGTTTCCAGTCTGTTGCTGTTATGAGGCTGCACTGAATACCTATGAGCAAGTACAATTTCACACATGAGTAGTATATGTGTACATTAAATTTCTAGAAATGAAATTGGTGATTCAAAGAGCATATGTGTTTGTAATTTTAATAGATATTGTCAAATTGCTTCACATAGAGATTG